AAGATTGATACCAGAAGACAGAGACAAAGCTTGTGGGGTTACAAAAGGGATTTACATCAAGTCAATCATTTATAAAAGTAAGTGTCATAAAGTTTGATGCTATTGACAAGATGAACCTATGTGCATGGTAAGCTATTTTGTACCAGAACAGGGGCGGATCCAGCATTTTATAAGGGGGAGCGCTTTTGTCAGTAATGTATAGCAGATGGAACGGTCTTGATAGTGGCAGACACATGTTGTGTATGCTACTTATTTTTGCGATAAAAGTACAACAGGAGTAATAAACAGCAGAAAAAACGTTTATACGTCTGATATATAAAAAAATTACGTTCAAAAAAACAGGGGGTGCGTCCATACCCAAAGCACCTCCTCTGGATCTACCCCTGTATTGATTTGGCAAGTGAAGTCTCATTTCCATAAACGTTTTGGGATTCTGGAACCCCTAGCAGCACCTTTGCATAAATCACTGGAGAAGTGAATTCAAGTCCATGGGACGGTCTTGACGGTCATTTTTGAGCCCATCAATTAGCTGAGAGGACGTTTTAATTCCTCTAGAGACTGATCCGAATCTGAATTTTTGAATTTTTGATTTTTTCTAGCAAGAGTATTTGATTCAGTTTGGTGTTTACAATGCATTTAGGTTTGAAATTACATGATGGTGAATTAAAGATGATCATATTATTTTGGAATTTTGGTGCGTTAGTTGCAATGTTTTGTGAATTTGTAGACCAATTTGCAAAATAAGCTGTTTAGTCTACTTATACTTTATGTCATACTATACTGATGAATAAAACATCAGTCACATAAAACTATATATAATCAACCCACGAACTAATTTATTGTGTAAACATTTATCAGACTATATGATTGTGATTAAAGCAAAATTAACTCAATCATGAAAATATCAAAATAGTCTCCTTAACGGTTACCTGCGCCATCTTGAAAGGTAGCCGTGCCTTTGCATCGAAGCGAGACGACCGTTGAGCGTGCAATGATAGAAACCTTCTTTCACACCTACAGACAATT